TTTCATAACTATTTTAATAATTTTTTATGATTTCAATGTAAGGTCTGCATCTTATGTACTGTAGCCACTTTTAGTCAGAAAGATACTGTATGTCTAATTCTAAATTAAATAAATAAGTTTGCAAGTGTGAAGCTTCTAAATCAAGAGAATGATGTCAATGTAAGGTCTGCATTTTATGTACTCTAGCCACTTTTAGTTAGAAAGATACTGTATGTCTAATTCTAAATTAAATGAATAAGTTTGCAAGTGTGAAGCTTCTAAATCAAGAGAAGAAATGCTATGGAAGCAGCGTCTTATTACCTTTTTCCATGCCTTAATCAACGCAAATATTATAATAAAAAGTCTGTGAACACTAATTTGTTATTATTATTATTTTATTTTGCTTAAATTACGAACAGGCCCACTTTATTAGACTTGCCAACAATACATATTACTTTAAAAATCTAAATTTAAGTATATTTTTCTTTACACATAGTTTATTGGCCACTGCTAAAAAAGCTAGTTTGCATGTAAGACCCTTGTGGTTTATTTCTGGTTAGAAAAACTAATGTATACTCGCCTGATAAAAATATCTGATCACATGAAGATTGCTACTCTAAGGACCAAACTTTATTTGTGAATAACTCAAATATAATGTATAAAAATGCATCAAAAATTTTTTCCTATGTAGTCACAAACTTCTTTTATTCAAAAATAAAAAAAAATTAATGCCTAAAACTCGCAAACATATCAATTTTGACCATGGCAAAATTATTGACCTTTGAAAAAATATTTACAATAAGTATAGTATTAAAGATATTCTTAATTGTCCAAAATAACTATTCATAATATTATTGAAAGATATAAGACAAATCAACAAACTAGTATTCTTTCTAGATCTAGTAGACTATCTAAATTGATAAAAAGAGATATTTGACATCTTGTAAAAACTATAAAAAAAATCAATAACAATTTTTGAATAGATATAGACACAGCCATCAAGCATGAATTGTTCTAGAGAAAGCACCAATGAGCTCATAGCATTTGATATGAAAAAGAGAACTAAAATGAAGCCATCTAAACCATACTTGAGAAGGGCATGCCCAATGATACCATGAATAATTAAGGTCAAAATAGGTTTTTATGCATTTCTTTAAAGTTTAAGATAGAGCCTACATATATTTTTCCACTGCTTTATTTATCTAAATGTAGACTCTGCCAACTAACCCTGGCTCCTGAACATATCTTGGGATGTCAGGAGATTTAGTAATAACTTTTAACACTTTTCAGACTTTCCCTGACCCCACTATAAACAAATCAAATATATGGAAAACCATATCACTCACCTAATATTGATAACTTTTTGGATGTTGTATAGGAATTAAGGCATTTCATTCATTCACCTGGACTCATCAGATCCTTAGTTTTTTCTTTTCAAGTAGAATAAACTAACTGAATTTTAGAAGAAATATTAGAATTATAAGTTAAAATAATAGAAAAATTTAATTAATCATTAACAATCTCAGTAAGCTCTTATATTATTCAACATATTTTATATGATGAAGAATTTTATAGTTAAGCTAAAAAAAAGAAAACCTTTAGTATTTGAAAAAAATTATAAAAAAAGATTAGAATAGTGTTGTACTAGAAAAAATTGTGATTTAAAATGAAATACAATAATTTGAAGCAATGAATTGCATTTTTTATTATTTAAAAATGACTCATATTATTGGGTTTGATGATATCCATATGAAAAATATGATATTAGTTGTCTAATTTCAACAATAAAATCATGAAATTAAAGTATAATAGTATAAAGATATTTTACAAAAAATAAAATTGAATCTTTATTCAAGCTTCTGATAAAATTACAATATCTTTATATATTGAAATTTTAAAAATAATCATTTATCTTTTATTTATAAATTAGATAATAATTTAAAATATATTTTCAAGATGATAATATTTTAATTCATTGAACAAAAATAATTAAACAATGGTTAGAAAATAATTTGATAACAAATATTTCTTGACCTGTATAATCACCAAATTTTAATCCAATTGAGTATTTATGGGATATTTTAGAAAAAAGAGATTGTAAATACAATTTCTATTTAAAATCTTGCAGAATCAATGATTATTTTAGAAGAAGAATAGAATCAAACTGAATTAAAAAATTAGAAAATTTAGTAGAAAATATATTAAGAAGAAATTAGGCTATAATAGATAGTAATAAAAATTAAACAAAATATTAAAGTATTAATAAAAAATTCAGACTTTTGTAAACATATTAATATAAATTTTATTAAAAGTTATTTAGTAAATTCTTTAATAATTATAAAAGCAAAATTAACTTTAAATTTTAAAAATTGTAATAATTGATATATGGTCAGATACTTTTGGCAAATAAATGTATTTCGTATTTGTTTCTTGTTTAATGTCTGAGCTTCACATGTTATCTAATTTATATTCACTTTAACTAATTCAGAATACATAATATAAGTACAAAAATCATTTAATTTAAATTTTACATACTGTATCTTGTAAATTTTATTTTATTGTATATAGCATTTGACAATACTAAAGATGTAAAAAAATTGTTTTAATTCTTTAATACTTTAAAAAATAAATAAATAATTTTTTATATTTTTATATTGTTTATATAATAATCATACAAATTTCTTTTTTTAAAAAAAATCTCTCAATCACCCTTTTAGAAAATGTTTCTCTGCAATTTCATATTAATCAAGTTTCAAAACTTTTATTAAAATCACATGTTTCGCTAATAATGGTCATGATTATATGCGTGATAGAATTGCTATGTTACTGTCATAGATTTTTTAATTTTTATTATACGCGAACCTTTTTAAAAATCAAACAACTATATCTTTGATATAAGCTGAACTTAACATGAGGATACTTGTAATAACAAATAAAATTTTTAATAAATTTTCTAATATTCTTTATTTGAAAAACATACTTATATGCAGTATTTATATAATATACAGTATATACAGTATATACTGTATCCATCTATATTATCTATATTCCAATTTTCAATTAACATTTTTTATTTTTCATATCATATCTTTTCTTATCAAATAAATAACCCAAATTCAAGTTTTGTAATCATCAATATCTTATTTTTATATTTTTAAACTATTAAAAATTATTTTATAGGAAACCACCATAACTGACTATATTACGTCATAAATTATTTTATCGGAGTTGAGTTGTTCGTGTGACTCAAAATTTTTAATAACCAATTACAATCTAAAAAACTGTTCTATATACGGTACTTTCGGTAGGACATGCATTACGGCTTGTATAAAATATATGCGTTCAACACTACTACGTACCATTACGTATACGTAATTGCATACTGAACAATGGTCCGCGGAAACAGTCTTGGTGAAGATTTAAAACTCTTGGTAAACAATCCTCATTATAGTGATTTGGAAATCAAATGTAAGGACGGCGTGGTTCTCCATGGTAACCGTGCAATCCTCGCAGCTCGTTCCGAAGTATTTGATAGAATGCTCTTTACCAGAGGAACCGAAACCCCCGACAAACAAGTATCGTTTCTAAAAATCGAGGCTTCAACTATGAAAATCATCCTTGAATATTTATATACTGGGTCAATTTCTAATGGAGCATTGACGACGGATAATACATTCGAAACATTAAATGCTGCCGATTTTTTCCAATTAAAGAATCTCCAGGATCTTATCTCCAACTTTTATATGCAGATATGCGAGAAGGAAGGAATTGATAATAAATCTCCAGAATTATTATCCAAAGCAGTTCAACTTATGTCTTCGTCAGCTAATAATGGAGTTATTGATTTTCTAGTGGATAAAGTTTCTAAGATTTCATTAGATACCATTGGATTTGATCGATTATCCATCCAAGCATTACAATGTTTATTATCCAAGTCAAATGATGAAACTAAAATTTTTAAAACTAGCGAATATTCAGTGTTGCGGATGGCAATTTTACTGGCAGTCAAGAATGTATCACAAGAAGCCTTTTTTACCTTGAAAAAAAGGTTGCCTTTATGGGATAAGATCGAAGATGGATTTGACTTTAATAACAACGACATACCAGATATTAAGGATATTTGTACTTCTACGGCCAACATCTTGGCACCCATTATCGAATTCATTGACCTTCGACGTATTGAAGGAAAAATTCTCATTGATATTATTGAGCCATTAAATTTGATTTCATCTAAAAAACTGATGGCTACTTATCGTTTTTATGCCTATGAAAAAAATTTTCTTCCACCTTTTCGTGGCATCAGATGTAACTTCAAATGGGATAAGAATGGTTGCGGTCCACATTTATCTATCAGTTCCAATGGTTACATGGTATCGAGTAACTCAGATGGAGGAGCGGGTTATTGGGAAAGTGTTAAAACTACCTATCTAATGAGCAGTGGAGTCAATAAGCTTCATGTCAGAATCAAAGACACGGAAAGATTCATTATCGGTATCGGTAATGAAAGAGTTGATTACTCGAATTATGTAGGAACTAAAGGTAATGGCTGGGGATATTTTTCTGGTGGTTATACGCATGAAGATGGACTGCGGAAACCATTAACTCATAATAAACCATTAATTGGCCAAAATAATGAAGTTATTATGAATTTAAATATGGAGAATAGAACATGCGTAATTACTGTCAATGGAACAGAGAATGTCGTTAGATGGGCAAATCTTCCATCAAATTTGTATTTTGTTGGATCATTAGACACCAAGGGGAGAATTAAGATAATAAGATAACTTAAGAATATATCCTTATCACTGATTTATTTTGTCTTTTTTGAATTCATGAATAAAGCTCAATATTTAGTGCCATTAACAGTTAAA